GCACGTTTCACAATCAACAATCTTTGACGAAACGCAGCAGTTGATCCATGGCCTTTTCCTAACAACTCAGCTTTCTTGGTAAAATTGGTTCCGATACCACGGAAAGCAAATGCTACCATAACAATATTCTAAATGCCTGCTGGACGTATCTAGAGTATGTGAACCTCCATTATTATTACGTTTACATCAAAATATTTTCCGTTGCATATTTAATTATTCTCAGATTATTTTCCGGATGGTGTAAATATTCTACTCAAATAAGTGTTTACGATAGAGCGGCGATTTAAAAAACATATAAAACTCGCCACTTCCAAACAGTACGAACTAAACTGATCATATTTCATGGATTTTGCACTCTTTTGAGACAGTTGTCTACAGTCCTTGCTTTATAATGGATGTGCATAAAATTTTGACATAAAACGCCATGACAATCCCGTAGGAGCAGTTTGAAAACTTCGGCTCACATGAAGTTCATTTTGTTTGAATGTTGTTCCTTCGAGGCTATGACCACCACGATGTCCAAAATGTAGCTAGCTATAACTCTACCGTTTATTCAAGCCAAATATGCTAACATGCTAGCGCAACATGGAGGTTGAAGGCGCACGCTTAATTCGGGCCTCCTCTGGGTTTACGGCGAAGGCGAAAAAAGTAGCGCTGTGTAGGGCATAGATATTCTGATTTATTGACAATTTGTCAGTCGGGCAGACGACATTTACTTTGTATACACAACCTAACTGCATTCTTATTCACAAATTTTCAGACTTATAGGAAAAAATTTAAACGAAGCATGTTCTCATTTGAATATTACAATTCGCACGGCCCCGTGATCACAACAATTTTAACTCTTCAAAAAACAAGACAGACTTAGTCTGTGAATTCCACTGTTCATAAAATCATTATTCGCTACCCTGTGTTCATTTTAAATGACTCTATCACTGCTCCTTCAAATATAAAATCCATGTTTGAAACTTCACAGCCTCCAAATAAAAGCCATTGTGTAGGAGCAGTAAACCACTAATTCTAATTAGACAAAAGTCACCATAATTGAATAAAATGGCCTTCGATATCATGGAATGAACGTTAAAACGACTGGGATTTCCTAATTTCCCAACTTTTAAAACACAAATAATTTTTCTTTAGGAATGAACTATGACAACATGTCGTCCTTGAGACAAGAGCTTCGTCAAACCAGATGAAGTAGTACTGATTTGCCTTAGCATTTTCTAGCAATTATTATCCTTATTATTATTCTTTTTATTCCTTTCAAACCGTAAGTCATGTGGATTATGGAGTTATATTAACAGCTCAGAATATTGTGTCAAGCATTTAAGTAGTTTTGCTCATTCCTGCTCAAGACTTGGCAGAGAGAGTCGCAAGTTCCCTCCTGCTGTGGTGAAAAATATTTACTGATATTTATTGCGAAAAGAACTCTGCATAACCCAAATTCAAATATGTATGCTGACGTCAAATAAAGGAACTAAATTGCAGAATTTTCCAAAATGCTTGGATATCTGCTAGAGAATGCAGATATTATCTCAAATCCCTTTTATACTGTGTAAATTCGGATATTGTAATGGGTTACATTGTAGCGGTATGAGGCTTTCACGGCTTTCAAACAACATTGCCGGAATGTACATCAAATGGGTTGAAAATCCATATCGTGATTTACATGTCAATCAATTCTTTCATTTCTCTATGGATTTCTTCTAAATAACTAGCATAAACAATCAACTAATATTCCTTAACCTCCTTCTGGACTTCAGCGAGAATTGGAAACTGTGAATTTTCACGAATTACCTAATGATTTTTGATGGTCACACTCCCAGCTGTTTTAGTAATACTGTACTGACTGGATATAGCATTATTCAAATTGCCTTGAAGGGTTTAATTTGATAAGACTATTTGTTTCAAAACCATCAACCAGATAAAACACGTCTGGCGTAGCTGCAAAACGTCTCATGAATGTAACCGTTTATGCTGGTAGGACTCTACTACCACAAGTACCCATTTTCCTGCCTTCTGGTATGTGCTTTTGCAAACACTCCGTGCATTGTCCCACCACGTTGTTATCTCCTTAGCCACCGCTGTAATTCTGCTTTTCAGATCCTCATCCCTTTCATTGGTGTCGTCTCAACCTCATTCGGTCCAGTCTGCGTATACCACTATAACACTGACTTTCTACGCCCCTGCGTGACAATGCGCTAGCCATAACGTTCCTCCATGCTCTAGAATCCTAAGCGTTAGGAATAGCCATTCTTCTTCTCCCAATATCGGCTCAAGAAAATACCCAAGGATTGCGGTCCTAGTACCTTTTCTGCGTAGCCATTCACCTTGACAATCCGCTTTGTAGTCTGTCAGGTTTCAACGAAACTGTACTTCATACCGTTTCAATTGGTTGTTCCCTATGCCCATACACGCGGGATAACAATGTACACATGTGCTCCATTGGGCTCAATCACCTGGGTACTACTATCTTGCCTCGTTATAAACCGTGTTCATCAAAAGTGTTTGGGGGTCGAATCACGCTAGCTGTCTGATCACGTCTGCGTCGGCCAATGGAAGTCGACAAAACTGAGGTTGGTGACATCTGCGTTGTCTTAATTGAGGCACATGGATGATGCGTGATACATCTGAAGCAATTTATCCATAATTTTCAACAACTGCCACACACGGTACTACGTATGAAGAAACAAGAGCATGTCTGGTTGCCTAAGTAACCAGATAAACTTGAGCAGTTAGCCTAATCATTTGTCTGTCAAGATGCATTGAATACATCCGGAGTCAGCGAATCTTCGGAATTGTATTGAATAGTCGTCACAAGGAATTTGTTTAAATCCAAAAGTACACTTTATTTAGTCCATCCTAATAGCCCCTCACCACAGTTGCTGCCATCTACTGGAACCCCATCATAACACAAACCTCAGAAGTCATTGACTAAAAGTGGACATGGCATAAGCGAATGAAATGCCGCTGAAATCTCTTTCCATTTAACTGATCATGATGTGGAAGACCGTGACCTCGTGCGTTGTTTTTATATCGGCAACTAAACGAAGAATTTACGGAGCACTGCACTATTTACATTTCAATTCATCCCGTGTGTTCACCAGGGAGGAAAGACAACACATCGAAAAGGTTGGTTCCGAACTCCGATTCAGGTGGACTCATAGTAATTCTCCTAAGAACGTCTCGGTGATTACATCAGTCTGCTGTCATAATTGACAGCATAATTTACGGGGTTTGAACATTTTCATCTCATATTCGATGCGTGTTGAATTTGATACTAGTTTTTGAGTGCTTTCCTCAAAGCATAAAGGCGGATTCAGACATTGTGTGCTAGACGCTTTGACAGACTCAGGAACTAGATTGTGAAAAAGTTTATTGCTCAGAAACTTTAAATATTGCAAGCTGAATATCAGCTATACGAAAAACTAGTTCAGCTCGTACAGAAAGCATGCTAAAAGATAGAAAGTGTTAAGCGTTTCTGGATGATTTCCCTCAACTTATGCTGATAATGTTTGTATATTCAGCCGTCGAATTCATATCTAACATCACATGTGTTCAGTGGGGTGGGAGTAGACTCCTTGGATCAAATGCCACCACCACAGCACAGGCATCAGTGTCGGGGCAATCGCTTCATGATGGACCGGGCACTCAAAAATATTTTCTGCACACCAGGATGTTCGTTATCTTTTAAAAGAATGCAAATTATTCAGAGCTCGGTCTATTATTTTCAAAAAGGTATCAACATATATCCTGCTTCTGGTCGAAAACATTGCATTCTATTCGGACCTAAGGTTAACCGATCTAAGTATACATTGGTTGTGATGAATTAGTCTACGGAAACCCGCATTCCGGACTCCATGTAAACTTGTACTTGTCTTTATCTTGGGTTAAACAATGGGAGATCTACACTTAATGGTCACTGGCGAAACACAGCGGTAATTGATCAATGTGATAAACTAAGTTTTATTGAACGGATGGAGCCAAACCTCAAGGTACGGATCGCCGTCGTCTCAGTGTACGGGAGTTAATCCATCTCAGCAGTCGTATGTGATGACTTCAGGCCTAGCAAGCTAACGACGTGTTGCCGCGTACTCGAGTTGGCTAGAGGCCCTGTAGCAGGTTCACATGTCAGATGGATAATAGCTGTTGCTCGCCTGAAATTCTGTATCTTAGGACTCCTTTCGAACTTTTGTGTTCTTGAATCCCGGGCCTTCGGGACGTCAGCTGAAACCACTGAGTCGCAGCGGTCAGCCTTTGCACTTTCATCTAGGTTTCTTTATTACAACCTGACTATCCGTCTCGGAGGCAATGACTTACTCGGTCTCTACGATCAGCAAATGAGCGTGTACTTGGCTTTCCATTCGGATGATTAGAGTGTGGTCTGTTTGCATTCCCGACGAGACGCTGTTCCCGTTGAAGAAATTGTTAATAAGTGTAAAACAACGCAAAAATTATACATCATCAGGTATTAAGACAAAATGTTCTAAATAGCTAAAACGAAAAGTTCAGGATATGCAATTCGGCGGAAGGGTGCAATGCGCAGTGCATGTCGAATACGATTAATACTATCCAATGGTAATATCCATTTTTTGGATTTGCCTGTAAGTGATCACAATCACCTAATGTAAGATGAAAAGCGCGTACCTACATCTCTAAATCCAACCTTTGACGGTTAGACGCTTCTAGGCGCAACGTAGCGACTTTAGTCTACCGCGATGCTAAGAGGAAGTGAAGAGAACGGATTCCACTGTGAGCAGCATAATTTAAATCCAAGAGCTTGAACTTATCCGATGAAAATATTGAGTAAACTGTTTTCTCCGTCTCAAAATGTGGGCTTTTCATGTTAACCTCTTACTCGCTTCAGAACAGTTAGGATGTTGACAAGGAGGCTAACAGAAATTGGGGGCTGCTCTTACCCACTGATAATCATGATTGTGTCCATCGTTCAATTAAAGCTCTGCATCACGCAATCGTATGTTGCTTTCCTGTCTCAGCGCATGCCACCTTTTGTACACGTAACCAATCCAGCTCTCGGAGGTGAGAAATATTTTGTGCGAATATCGTGAGTTAACATGCCTCATAATTATTGATTACATAGCGGCCAACAAGAGTTCAGGTACTCTAGCTTGCTGAGCAGGTGCGCCTCACTAAATCTTCCTTCAAGCAATGAACTGTACTACGTTCTTTTCTAAGTCGTAGGTGCTTGCCGGACAGTAGTATAGATCAAGGCCCTTACACATTTGGTAGGTGTGCAGAAAATAATGCAAATATACAAACCAACAATATCACACCAATATGATACAATTCGCTGACCTGTGCCCCTAAGAATCAGAAACCTGAGTTGTAATCCGAGGGCGCGGGTTCAAACCTGCGTGGGAGTCTAGGCGACACTTGCGGTATCCTTAGTGCATGGGCGACTGCTGGTGGTTACGCGGGAACGAAGTGTCGGTTCTGGGTACTGGCGTATTGATGATGATGCCTTTAAGAAATAACTCACCACCGAGGTTTAGTGCATAGAGTAACATCAACAGAACTATAACGAACGAATTACCTGAATGGCGAACTACTTAGGCAACTAGCCACGATCCCAGAAGGCAGGGAAATGAGGCAGGGTTTCATCAAGGAAATTACAGAACAACGTAAACATTTTGGGTTGTAGTCAGAAGTCTGTTAACCCAGGGGTCGCATGTCGCTCGGACATGAAAATATAGGCTTGAGGAACGTATCATGTGTTGACATGAAACAAAGATGTTAGACACTATTAATCGGGAAAGTTCAACACGACAATTTACTACACTCGTATAAGAAACTCATATCCGAAAGCATCAGTTCAAATGAACTTAGAGTTTCTGATAACCTGCCTTAATGGGAAGTTTTTCATCAGGCCTTTCGAGTTGCATTGAGGAGAGTGACTCGATGGAATGTCTCACTCTGGGGAAAAGCGTACTGCTACTGAAGGATGGCAATGGTTGCTTGCAAACGAAAACAGCGAATGAATACAATGACTTTAAGGCTTCATGTTAGGTAATCTAAAGGAATTGCATCTTTCGTGTTTGTTTCCACTTGCGCTTCAGTATTGAGTAGTATGCATTTTAGTATAATTTCAGTGATATATCGTCGCAGTCCCTCTCAGTCAACAGGCTTCGGCACGTCTGGAAAAGCGCCAGATAGCTGCTTCGATCATCTTGGTCCCGTTAGTTGTGCGCCTTTGCGGACCCCTGACGTGTTCCGACCCCATGACTTCCGGATGCCAGCAGCTTGGGCCACTGAGTCATGGAAGACGGCCTCGGACATGCATTACTGACATTTGACTAGGATATAGCTCGGCGCGTCCTCCATTGACAAGGCAGTTTTAAACTGTGCTCTCAGACCACTGGACCAAACGCGAACTTAAAGTTAAAGTATAGGGAATGACCGTAGGATACAGCTGGTGCATACCAGTATTATGTTACCAGTATCCACGCTGTCCAGTCTTTGGACAGTAGCAAAACTAAATGACTTTCTACATTGACGTCTTTGATAACCCATCAGACTACCCAACTGGGCTTGTAAAGCAATGCTTCTTAAGCAGTATGAATTATTATTCATTAAGAAACGAAATCAATCGACTTCTTTTTAACGTTTTCAACAAATGCTGAAACTCATACGCTTTTCTTCGCCGTACCCATTTAGTGATTAACACGGTATGCATATTAACGGCAAAAGCATGTTGTACAGTAAATTAATCATCATCTTTACTTCCGTTATTACTGCATTTTCCATTAATGTTGGTAGGAATAGGGTAACATTGAAACAGGGATAGATCTGGGCGCTAAAAGTATACCAAATAACACTAATTTAAGGACAAATCTTTTGTTCATAACCTATGGAATGAAGGCCTTGTAATAGACGCAATCATGTTAACGCTTTATACTGTCAAGAGCAATAAGATAAAAGTTTTAAGTGTCTAAGCCGAAAACCACATTATTAAGACGACTTGTGCCAGCTAAGCCAAGTCAATAGCTCATTCACCCTCAATATGTTTCTGCGCTAAGTGATTACCACAAGATTTTTCATAACGAAACTAAATTGACAATGCCAATAAGCACCGTCACAAATGTCTAGAAGATAAAAAATATACCTACAAGATCGAACACAGTAAAATAACTGACAGGCTACCAGGTGTAACCTTAAATTTCATGCCAAATAACAGCATAAGAGGGACAACTGCACTACTGCCTCGACGGTCTGGTTAGATACAAGCAGTAATATAACATTTTGGTATGCAATACCACAAATTTCATTGTATCGCGAATGTTACTGATTGGCGGTATGCGCTTTAGAAACTTCTATCATCAGTAGGCTTAATAACTGCTTTTAGTGTTGATGTTAGATATTTAACGCTACACGTATATTAAAAGCCACACAGTATGATATTTTTCATAAATCAGTCATTAGGGATAAAGTGATTTTTTATGTGAGTAAAGGAAATTAATTTATTGACCCTACTCCGTGACCGTACTTACGTTTTACGGTTACACTGAGTACGTTACAATTTGATAGCAAACTCGTAAATTTCTGGTGCTACAGAGAAAAGGAATTAATAAAGAGATGTATGGTGATCAAGCTATGGAGAACTGTCGTGGAATAGTGTTTCCACGAAGCTATGCTAGGTATATTTTTCTTTAAATCTTTTTGTATAATTAATAGTGTATCGTTATCAGTTCATCGACCTCAACTATTTATGCAATGTGGTAATTGTTTGTACTGGCAAAATGCTATAGCGTAACATGCTCAGTATGATTTTCAGCAAAAATGTTTTCACACCAGTTTACTCACTGAAGTACAGTTTAAAAAAACAAATCGACTGTTATTCCGTAAATAATAACGAAAAATGAGGCACTGTTAAGCATTCTGTCGCCTTCTTGTGAAAAGGTGGTGGAGGTGCAAAAGATAAATCGTAAAGTAGTGTTGATCGCCCAGAAAATATTTAATAGGCACTCGTGTTTATCCGTGGGTAATGGAGTAATATGAGATGCTGACGTGAAATGAGAGCATTGTAAACGCAGGCAATGAACTCAACCTGCATTAGAGCACGGATGACAGACTACGCTAGAGCATTCCACGCTTTGCAACCCCGTATAATAAAAGAATTCCTACGGCATTATAAAATACTGCCTTGCACGGCCAATTTTTTAGTTTGGCCTCTAGCTCACTGTTGCGAATAATCTATAGCCAACGATGGTTTACGTGGTTGGGATCTCACATATCACTTAGGCCAAATTTAGGTAGCCAAGCAGTCTTTGGTATCGTTCTTTGGAGAGACGGAGCACTCGTATCCTTCGTTAAAATGACAAACGATACAAGTGTTTGACATTCAGGTTGCCTGGCGTTGAATTTTTCTCCAAGTCGGTGAGCTTGCCCTCTAGCCTGAATTTCAGATCTGTAATGCGCATTCAACAAATGGGTTTATGTATGGGTAGCCAAGCTGTTAAAGATTGACGGGTCGAATCATCCAAATTCACTGCTCATGAAGATTGTTCATTGGATGACAGCACTTGATGCCTTTCCAGCCTGAGTCGAAAATCTAAGCTTAGAACAAACCAAGAATTATAGACACCTTTCGCCAGAAGACGTTTGAAAATCCTGCTTGCCGAGTTTGTTGGAGCAGACTATCTGGGGCCGTAAGTGCAGAACCCTGCAGTTTTCCACAATAAACCGAATTGCATTTTGTGCTGTTCAAGCTCTAACACTATGCAGATGAGTTTGAAGTTGCCTGATGTCAGCTGTTGCATGAATCACCCTCCACAACTTAATATCACGGGCATCAAGCTAACAGTTCCTGGTCGTGAGGCTTGTTACCTCGACGCCATAGAACAAGAACAACCTTGGGTCTAATACCAGTCCTTGTGGCATTCCACATTCAACATGGATAGGGATGGATAGGGATTCACCATCCAGATGAACCAATACTGAATCAACGGAAGTTGTTGGGTAGAGTGATATAATCCATCTTCATAAAATATAAGCCATGTTTCTCGGGTGGATGGTCTTAGTTTTAAATGCTCCCACAACCGGTTTTAAACTGATTGACGAAAGTATGGCAGGTGTTAGCAGGTGCCTTGTCCTCTAGGTAGGACCGCTTACATATCTCACTTAGTCTGGCTCATACGTATAGCACTGTTCGCTGTGCGGTTATTCCCACGGAATATTCTGCAAAATGTGTACCCGATAGTAAGTCTAGTTGAATGTCGCGGCACTAAGGGACTTAAGCGCTCATCCTCCAGATCATGTATTCATCTTTGATACAGGCGGCCCATCTCGCTGAATCTAGTAGGTGTTCATGTGACGATACAATGAAAAATCAACTTGTAGATCCTCCTTGAACTTTCCCCCAGGGGTAGCTTGTGATTCCAGGACGTTGATATGGAATTCACCGGAAGAATATGGTTGTACGATTACTTTTGCACGCCTCAGTGCCGGTTGTAGATTGAGTTTCATTTCAAGTGAGTAGGCACGCCAAGGGAGCGTGCAATGGATGATTGCTGCAGTACTTGTGTTCTTGGCTTATAACAATTGGTTACTCTGGTGTCATGTAGAGAATACCTTAAGTGTGTCTGCTTTGAACTGCAAAATATTTACGGTTGGCCACTCATCTACCATACCAAAGTCACATAAAATTAAACTCATATGGGTATTCGTCTGAAAAGATTAACCAAAGCTTGATACCATCCAAATACAACAGAAAATGTGAAACGCTCCTCCGTGTAAAGTCATTTATGCGTAACAAATAACTATCGTGGAATCCTGGGGCAAAACGACACGACTGGTATGGGATCAGTTGAGGGACTCAGGACACTGGCAACTAATTGACGATGCATGAGAGAGTTGGCTATCCAGCTGAAGAGAGGGTCACCGCTTCAGTGATGTTGGAGCTTGGAAAGGAGAATCCGATAATCTACACGATCGAGCGCCTTCAACAAATCTAAGTAGATCACATCAACGGCCTCACCAGCTTCAGCTGAATCGGTCCAGATTCGCCTTGCGATTAATAAATTCGTTTTGCTCGGTCGCTGTCAACGAGTGCTGTGTTGCTCGGGAGCGTTACTGTTACATTGTTTAGATTACACACCAACTCCTGGGCAAAGATGGATTGCACTATCCTGGACAATATGGGGAGAAGAGACATTGGGTGGGAGTTTTAGGGCTCCGTTTTGCTTTCGTCTTTGTGAATCGGTATTATTCCAAGATTCCACAGTGCAGAAATCCGCCTCTGGTCTAAGCAAGGCTGAAAGAACTAGACCAAAGGTTTTGCCAGTTGTCTTACTGATGCCCCTAGTGCATTTTGGCTAAGGCTGTCGACTCTCGGGAACAGTTTTGCGTGGATACATTAGATACTGCAATGCGGTCTTGGCATTAAAAGGGATATGGTTGAGTTCTAGTGTAGGGAAAAGAAAAATTGGAAGATGGCCTGATGTTAACCCCTTGGTTGTCATCTGAATTATCTGGCCTTGGTGATGTTCTATAATTACGCCACCCTGTCCTTGCGTGCAGCAATGCATTTACTAGTTCTGCTGTTTACCATAATAAAGGTTTTAGGCCCACTAAGTACTCCGTTGTGTGCCTGGTTCACCCAAATTTGTCCACAGAAAGTACTCGCACCGGCTTCACTCACGAACACTCTATTCCCAAATCTGAGGTGAACTACATTTAGCTGAGTATTTAGAAACTCACTCGTCAGTTCCTAGATCGCCTGATCGACTTCACCGAAGCAGGCAATTTATTTCCAGCCAGCTTTTCGTCACTTTCACAACCTTCATTTTGATTTCTTATATGTTGTTGCAATAAATCCGTACGGTTTTCTGCTGCGCGTACGCTTGCTGCCTTAAGCTGAGGTTTCAGCCTCCTTTCTTGTTGCAGCTGCTTATCCCCGCTTTGCAAAGTCCGTCCTTTACATGTTCTCCTAATTTGCACCAGATTCTCTCTAATTAGATTGCGTCCTATCCTGATATCGTGGCTATTTTCACCTCTGCGACCCGCAATCACACCAAATCGCCAACGTTCTCCCGAATCTGGTATTGGTAGCATCAATATTTTTCCCACAGCCAAGCGTGGGAGACATCGCGATCCAGGATATTAGCACATTTTAACATTTGCTTTCGCAGTCGTTTGGGCACAGAAGCTTCCGGTGCCATCCCAGGCTGTAGTCGCATTATACCGGCCAGATGCAGCTTCTTTGTTCTGCGTCTGAATAGTAGCTGCACCGAACGTACTCCGATCTCGGTAGATGGTGTATTTCTTCGCTTCAGTGGCGTTATGTAGGGATCCTTGTTGGTCTCCTTGGCCTTGGTAAGTATTTTCTTCGCTCCCTTCACCGCTGTCTGGGCCTTCCCATTTGATTGGCTGTGATGCGGGCTGATGAGCCGATGACGAAAATCTCAATTCTTGCTGGAAGCGCGGAATTCTGCACCACTGAATTGCAGCCCGTTTTCTGAATTCACAACCACGGGGATTCCATGTCGACCGAATTGACACCGTAATTTGTTCACTAAGGTATGCGCAGGTTGACGTAACGGCGTTAATCTCGAAGGAATCACTGAAATATTTGAACACATTCAAATAGCTCTTGACGTCGCGATTAAAATTATCCAATGCGACCATCTGCCAGGGCCTATTTGGAACGTCATGAAGCATCATTGGCTCCGTCGGCTGGCGCACATCGTGTCTTGAATGTTAACCAGTTTGATCCATAACCACGTATTTGGCTAGTCATTCCTTGCCAGAACATCAGCTCACGTATTCATGCCACGCAATTTTTGATTCCCAAATGCGCATAGTTTACCATCTGCAGCACTGAACATTGCAATGCCTTAGGAACCACTATCCAGTTACCCTTGAATATTAACCCAGCTTGAGTGATGTGTTCTTCGCGAAGATGATAAAATGGAGCTAACACTATGTAAAATCATCTTTTGTCTTAGAACCATTCGTTCATTATGGTCTGCCTCCGAAGCTTGCAATATTCGTCCTCCTCTGTGCATATTTGCACTTGCTGCAAAAGTTCCTAGTAACCACAATTAACTGCTTTCTGTGGACAAAATGCGGATTTTCTTCCAGTTGCGGTGTGTTTGACAGTGTCGCACCTGACAACGTGTCCGCAATGTACATCTGGGATTCTGATACGTAAACTATATCCAAGTCACACTTCTACAGACGTGTGAGCACCCTTTGCAGGCGGGGTGAAGTGACATTAAGTGGCTCACAAGCCATGGATACAGATGGCTTGTGGTCAATGAAGACAGTTGTTTAGCGGCCGAAAGTTATCTTTGAACCGTTCTACGGCGTAAAATAGTACTAGCATTTGATTTCCAAATTGTGTGTAACGACTATCGGCCTCTGTGAGCGTGCGACAGCGAAAATCCACAGGCTTATCAATTTGCATAAGTACAGCTTCGATGCCGTATCAGCCATTGTCACACTAAATATCAAGGAGAAGCGACGGATCAAAATAGGCAAGAACACTGGCACCTGTAATTAATTCGTTGATCATCCCAAAGGCATATTCTTGTTCAGAGCCCCAGTGCCAATCTTCATCCTATGAGTCAACTTTCGTATCAGTATCATCACATCAGCCAGTCATGGAAGGAAGCGGCTCATGTGATTGACTATTAAGTTTAGCCTGCTAAGCAGCCTTGCCTCCGTGAGGGGAATATTCTGTTTTGTGGCCCTGATATTCTCCGGATCCGGTTTCACCTCTGATTAGCTCAGCACATGCCCACAATTTTCCACTTCCGTTTTGCGCAGCTGGACGTTCTTAAGTTTTGTTTGAAGTTTCTTTCATTACAACGTTGTAGGAACTGGTGAAGATGACTATTATGTTCCCCTCGAGTAGCACCAAACATTTGCACGTCACTTGCTACACAAAAGACTTTGGGCAAATTGTTCAATGCTAGCAGCAACAGCTTTTGAAATATCTCACTGAATACCTTCAAATCACAAGAGTCAAACGAAGCCAACTAAAGCGTCCAAAAGTCGTTTCAAATGCGGTCAACTAGCTACAGTTCATCAAGTGATACGCGCCAGAAGCCTGAAGCGAGGTCGACTTCCGTGTACATTTTTGCCTTTGATAGCTCTGGTAGCATGTCGTCTATTGTCGGTAGGGTATGGCAATCTCTTCTGAGAAAAGCACTGAGGGTATGGGGCGATACACACACGCAAATCACAGGATTTCTTAGTGACGAATGCCATTTGGATTAAACCTTCTATCGGTTCATCGACCTCAACTACGAAACCCAAAATGGACAAACGCTTCGGTTCTTCTAATGTTCCTTCGTGCGATACTATGGGCACCTTTCTACTGGCCTAGTAGATCCGCTTAACGATAAATGAGCACCTCCATTTAATTTGCAGATAACCCCATCGAACGCAGCAGGATACAAATCGACAATACCTGACAAGAGTAACTTAAACGATCATAATTAAATGAAACAAAACCAAGCCGCTGAATGGAATCAATGCCCAAGATGGGTATAAGATCTGCTGACACAACCATGAATTCAAGCTGGTGTTCTGTTCCGTCCTTAGGGTTGACGACGGTCAAGACAGCGTTTCATTTCGTTGTAATCTCGAGCCGTTCCACATTTGGACGCAACTACGTGCTTCAGTACTTTTACTCCAGCACAATGTTTCTTTGCCAGTATGTTGACGGTGGCTCCTGAATCGAGCGGAAAACGAACTGGACGTCCTTGAATTAACAGTGTGGCAAAAATGCACTTCGGCAGTCTAAAAGGTTCCATGTTGTCGACTTTCATCCTCCACCGAACTGACGTCGGCCAAGCTGCAAAGTGAGCGGAATCCTTTTTCTTGGTAAACCTCATACAGTTCTTTTCCTTAAGCTCGACAACTCTATTTTCGTCTTGGATGCTTTAGACAACAAAATTGACAGCTGGCCTCCTGTCTCGCGGAGGGCAAAGACAGGGCTTCTTCAATCTTCGGTACTGTATATAATGCTTCTGTCGTTCTCTACCGCAAATTCTGGAAATTTCATGACGTATTTGATTTGCTAAGGCACATAGCCACGCACTGAATTAGGGACAGGCATTTCTGCCTCAAATACGTCAAGTGAGGTTGTCATTTCTGAGAATATTTACGATGCGCTCGCGTACAAGAGAGTCCAGCATACTGTTAGAATACTTGCAAGTTAGTGCCAAAGCTTTAAATTCTGTAATGTAGCTCTCGACTGACTCATTCGGTAGGCGATTTTGACCAAACAACATAAAGATTTGGTACGTTTTATTTACTTGGCCTTCGCAATAATCTGCAACTCTCTTGATGATCCCCGAAAGGTCCGGCTCCTGCTCCTCCGAATCTCCGCGATACAGAATCCAAAGTACTCGACTAGTTTCATCGTCAAAAGCGAGTCTGAACATAGCAAGTTGGTATGGCATCAGATAGGGATCCACCTAATCCAGCTTGACGAAATCTGTACATTTCGTATTCCACATTCTCCAGTTGTCAGGCAGCGTACATTCCGTCATCCGTAGAGCACTTGGCAGCAGGATCGGCGATTGTTTGCCAAAATCTAGCAGGGTCCGGAGAGTCGGCTTCTTCTGCTCTGACAACATGTTTTGTGTCTGGTTAACCGAGCAGCTTCAACAGAAAGAACTCACACCGGCTCCGCATACAAACGCTTTATTTCCAACTCTGATGCAAAGTACAATTAGCCGGGTGGTTACAAACTCGCTCGTCCTTTTGATCCATCGCCTGATCGACCGCGCCTAGGCAAGCGGCTTCTTTCGCCCCAGCTTTCAGTTAATAGCACATACTCAGTAAGCACTTGTTGGAATTTGCTGGCGATTCAGATCCAAGTGTTTTCCGAGTGGCCATCAACCAGCACCGACCAGTTATGTCACTGGCGGGCTGCAGCGGGGGGGGTGCGGGGGGGGCGGGGGGGCCGCGGGGCGCGGGCGGGGGGGGGTGGGGGGGGGGCGGGCGGGGGGGGGGCGGGCGGGGGGCTGG